ACAAAAGTATAAGGAGCCGGGCTCCGATCTCCCCTATATCCGCGGCAATACGTATAGTATATTCTCGTTCGGTGTACCTATTACATACACGTGCATCCGCGGTTTTTGGGTATCTCCCTCTCTCTCGTTAGAGCGGGCGAGGCGAGCTTTCATTCAATCGGGACTTGTCGTTTCGAGGGTCGCTATAATAATACGCGACGCAGGAATGTAGCCGGTGTCTCGGTAAAGCGAGCCTGTGTACCTGGTATACGTGTGCACAAAGATACAGGAGGGAGAGAGAGTCGGGCGAAAGAGGAGACGAAATTGAGTGTTCCATGCGGGCGCACTGTCCTAATTACAACGGGCTGGACTCCCTGGCCTATACGCGCTCTCTTTTTTCGGCACTACAGGACGAGATCGGCTGAAAAGGAGCCGAAATATTTCCTGACCTAGACCTCGTCTCATCGGCCCCCCCCCCCCTTTGTGTACACCTACTGTGATGGTAGCATCGGCAGTAGCGGCCGATTATCTTGCGAGACAGCGTTTCGGGTCGGGACTCGCAACTGTCGGTGTGTGTACGTGTGCGCCTTGCACAGGTAGAAGAAGCCTTTGGTATCCTGTCAAGGACTCTCCACCTTACAAATGAACGGGGACGAGAGACGAGTAGTTTTGCCGGTATTGTGGGGGGAGATGCGTGTACGAACTAGTTTGAGGGTACAGAGTCACGTGCTGTATAATTCATGTGAACTATTTTTATTTTGTTTAATTTGGCACAGGTAAGTACATGCCGATTTTTGGGAATCCAAAACAATAATTGGTGTGATATTCGTACGAGTTGACGGGGATGCGCTGGATTACGGTGGTAAATAAAGTATCGACTAAACGAGGCCGGTACGTCGGAGATTGACGGGAACGGGCATCGCTCGTGTATAAACACATGCCCCTATATGTGATGCGTATGCGCAAACGTCCGATTTTGATTTTCCAAATGGTGACTCGAGCCGAATCTTGTACGCCGAGGCCACGGGATCAACAAACGCTTGTATCGAATTTCCCTTTGACCTTGGCTCTCGGTGATGACTCGCATCCATCCAAACACCAAAATAAAGAAAAGGGGGGTAGCTCGAGCGTGAACATATGTACGGTTTTGTTTCGTCAAACGGATTCGTGTCCTTGAGACAACTCTGCGTGGGCGTGTTTACGTATTACGGGTGACAAACAGGAACCGCGGCTGATGTAGAAAAATCGTCATCCCTTACGTATACCCAATAACATATACGAGAGCAACGTTACATATTGTAGCGACAAAAAAAAAGGTTCTCCCACCCGCAAAGCAAAAGCTTTTCTCGGAGCCCTTCATTCACGGACTCCTTCCCCTATACGTGTACTTCTCTCGAGGCTTCTTCTCACGGCGCTCATTCATCTATACCTTTAGCCGTAGGACGATCACGCGAGTCCCCTTTCCTCTCGCAAGTGTATATTACCGATCGCGCGCGGTAGCGGCTAATCGCGCCCCCCTCCGGATATGTATTACACCCCGATTTGCTTTGGTTACGTGTCGACATTAACGTAATTGCCAACTCGGTCGATTTTTTTTTTTTTTTTTTTACCTTTTGCATTCGAAAGCTCGATGTCCTTGGGACTCCTGCGTGTGTGTGTGTATATTTATTGCCACGTATGATCGGCCGACGACGCCAACTGTAATTGGAAAAATTACGTTTCGACAAATACTCTTCTCGGAAACCCGATACATCCCTCTCTCCCTCACTGTGTTTTATATACACGCACACCCGTACACCATTCGAGGTTTGCCAAATAAATTGAGTCTATATACGTGCGCCGTTGCCGTTGTCATTCGCACCGTTAAACGATCGCGTTGTACTGTCTACGTAAAACGAGAAAAATCTAAAAGGGAGTGTGTCCGGTGTGATCCGCCCGGAGAATGTATAATCCACATAATACGAGTCGTGTGTGTACGTGTACGGTGGTGATGGCGATCCGTTGTTTGACAGAGGATACATTACATATACATATACCGAGTGTATAAACATATGCGGAAAGAAAGAAGGAAAAAGATCGGCTTGCGCACCGGTGCCCACCCGACGCTTGTTTGCCCAATCTGTTAGCCGGGCGCGTGTGTGTATATGGCACACGGGGCGCGTGTATGGAGATCGTTATAATATATGCTTTCACGGAGGTAAAAAAAAAAAAAGAGGAAGACGACGGTACGTGATGTATACATACATACGTGCAAGTACTTGTAGGAGTGTTGTTTGACGTGCGCCAAGCGCCGCCGTGTGTACCGGGCTAGGGTGTTTTGCCTAGGCATTATGATCGTTAGAAGAGCGGGGCCTTTCGGCTCTTTGCTCTCGGGGATGATCGACCTTTTGTGACCCTTGGTGCTATGGTGCGTTCACCCTCGGTGATCGATGATCGAGAAATCGTTGACTTTTCGTTGTAAATTTTTTTTTTTTTTTTTTTTTTTTATAATGTGAGAGGTAAGTTAACGGAATGTGTATAGGGAGGTTTGTGAGGTGTTGGAAACTAATACTTTTCACTCATACATTTTTTTATATATTGTTTCCCTCATACTCCTCTAATCTCTTTCCTTATGTGGTCAGATTTAGGAAAGGATTTATAAGGGTATTTTTTTTGTCAACAACCACTCTCGACGCCGTAGACGTATTTGCTGACTTAGTTCGCTGCTTTTTCGATATTTTTTTTTTTTTACAAATCAAGACCCACGACGTGACTGGCAGTGTACATTTGTGTATGTGTACAATCACTGGCCAAGCCTTCAACTAGAGATTTCGTGATAATTTATCGTTTCACATAGCTATTATAATTATATACACACGATTGAAACAAAATGTATAATATACAAGACGTGTAATACCTATAGTACAAAGTATATACGAAATCTCGAATTTTCTAACATGAACAATGATGGTTTGTAAAATAAATTGTTTGAACATCATCATGGACGCACAATTTTATCGTTGTGTTATATTGTTTATCTAAAAAAAATTTTACACAGCAGACATTTTCGAACTTAAAAATAACGCAACAGAAACACAAGCGCATGGTTTCGATCGGACGACGATTGTTTGACGATTCGCGGTAAAAAAGAAAATAAAAAAAAAAGGAAAAAAATTTGTACAAAAAGTAATAAACAATGAAAAAAAATTATAGCGTTGGAGCAAAAGGATCGTATACGAAGGGACGAGAAACCGCCGATAGTGCAGTCTCGACCGACGACCGTTTTGTTTTGCGAGGAACATTGTTTCCAGTGGATTTCTCGATGAATCTTCCCATCGTAAGTAAATGAAATCGATCGAGCCGGGATTCACGCTAAGGCACGCGCTTCGACAAAACTACTCATAGCGAGCGTATACAGGCATAACTGCGCTGCTGCGGCTTTTTTTTTTTAGCCGCCAGCATCTATTGTGGATAAAAATCTTGCCGTCGATAGGTAAAATTTGTCGATTAGCCCAAACGGCTGAAAAATTCCAGACAAGTTCGGGGCTCCGCTGGGTGCAGGTCCGAAAAAGATAAAAACCATGCCATCCGAAAATCGGCGTGTCCAAAGACTCTAAAATTCCCATACGTATAAACTCCGGGCGCGTAAAAGATTTTTCCATCTCCGACGGAGACGTCAGTCAGTGGGGGTAAAACATAAAAGGGGCACGAGGGACAGCAAAGGATTTGTCGCAGCAGCGCAGTTCGCGGTACACTCCATTCACACACGACCATTCTATACATTTATATGTATATATATATATTTATACTAAACTTTGTCGTCGCGACTCTTCCCGGGCGAGCAGTGCGTGTACCATGTATATATACATACAAGCACACGTGCAATGCACCACACATACCTACGTATCATCCTAATCAGCATACGCTATCGGTGCTGCTTTCATCAAGTCTTTACAAAAATAAAATAAATATAAATCTGAATAAATACGCACTCGGCGACACGACGCGACGATACAAATGTACAATAATATTTCATAGCTAAAGAAGTGAGAATCGCGACGCGAGTGGGCGCTTCGCGGTGAGTCGATGTGAATATCAATCGGGAGAGGCACGGTGATCAAGGATGGGATCCGTTTCCATCTCTCTCTCTCTCTCGCCGGCACTGGCCGCCTCTCCCTTTTCCTCCCTCGGAATTTCCGTACAAATTACCATCTAATACACACTAATTACTTCCGGTTACGAAGAGCTCTCGCGCGTGGTGGCACGTATATAAATATACACGTGACAAAAATATATATATATGCATCTGTATACGTCCACGAGCGCGCGTACCCCAATCGGCTCTTTTCTCGCCAAAATACACATAATTAAAAAAACGCGCCTCACATCGATCGGTGATAATCACATTTTGCCCTACTCGCATAGTACTCGCTTGAGGAGCTTCATCTCGGGCATTCGCGAGAGAGACAACAGTCGCGCGTAGTTTGTGACGGTCATCATCATCATCACTCGTACACGCATATATTCACCACTCATGCGCACTCTATACACATAATTATCACTTGGGGGATGAAACGACGAAAAAGAAAAAAAAAAAAAAAAAAAAAAAACCTCGCGAATAGGAGCGAAAATGTACAGAGGGTGCGAATTTTACAAGCGAATGATCATCCTCCCCCTTCTCCTTCCGAATCGAAAACAAAAACAATTATCGATACATATAACAACGTGGGTAATACTCTGTGTTCTCCGCCGAGCTGTGCTCGCGTTCCCGCACGAGACAGGCCGAGTCCAAACGGGCGAGCCTTCCGTTCGACCCCCCCCCCTCGATCCCACGGAGGGAACGGAGCACGCGCTTCGCCGTCACTGTCGATTGTTCTGCGGGAGTGACTTCGAGATCGTCGAACTAAGTAGTGTTTTCCTCGGTGATCGCGTAATGAAAACCACCAAGCCCTTCTTCGTTCGCCGTCGCGACGGGATTTATTACACATATATACGTATATAAATACAGTTTTTAATGTAAAAACCATTAAAAAAAAAAAGCACTCTCTCTTTCTCTAAATGTATACATAGATAAATAAATATATAATTATGTATATATATGTATGTATGCATCAAAAAAACGTCCCTGGAACTTACCCTGTGACCTCGTAGTTTGTTTTTTTTTTTTTTTTTTCACATCTTACAAAAAGTGTGTGTATCGTACGCGCTAAAAGGATGTTGTTACAATTTACAGCTAATGGACAATTATAATAATTATAATTCGTGATTTTCCAAAGGGACCGAAACGACGATTGTTGACGCACGCGCGTGCGTGTGTATATATATATATACATATATGTATAAAAATCACAATAGGCTCAGGCTCAAAGTCACCCCAACGTGAATGAGACACTCGACGACGGTCGAGGGGCAAAGAAAAATCGACTGCAGTTCGAGACGCCTCCTTCTTCTCATGCGTTGGATCATCACAATCGTCCGCGTAGCATCTACGCTCTCGCGTCGGCCACCCCTCACGAGGCCCAAGGGGGCTGATCGATCCCCTTGGGCTCGCCGGCGCGGTGGTTACCGCGGAGGCGCGACATCGTGCTACTCGTCTGCGGCTGGGCGTCGGCTCGGCACTCTCAGGACTTGATGATGCTGATGAGGTGCTCGAACACCTCGACCACGTACTCGAGCCCGTTCATGTAGTCCCGGAAGATGATCCAGTCGCGCAGGTTGCGGAAGGTCGCGTCCGACATGTCCCGGTACTCGTCCGACATTACGTCGCGGCTCACGTCCTCCCGCTGAGCCACCGAGCGCTCCGCCAGGGCCATCTGCAGCTCGCACAGCACCTACGACATCCAGGCGCGAGGTCCGTTTATTCCTCTGTTTTTTTTTTTTCTTTTTTTTTTTCTTTCATAGAGATTAAAAATAAAAGCGCAATCGATGTGGTCATCGTTCGCGTGAGCAATAACGCGTGGAATGTCTCGATCGGTTAGATCGCGCAGAGGTACGCGCGATGCGACTAATGTCTTCCGCGATTCTTTGCCCGGAAAGCGTTACCCAAGCGATTCCGTAAATAATCCTTTTTGTTGTAGCGAGCCGATATTAAAAAAACTAACGGCAAGAGCAATCAAAGAGTCCTTAGTGACTTTTAAGTTGCGAAAGTTCTCCTCGTTGCAGTATTTTCCAGCGATTTCCGCGGCCTTTTTTCGTCAATAAAAGCGGAGCTTGTGTTTATTATCTACTCCCCCGCTTTGTTCAATGTCTTACCGTCGTTTTTACTGCCCAATTAGGTATTGTTTAAAAAAAAGAAAAATCCCGATGTTTATTTGCCGACCGAAAAGTTAAGTAAACGATCAAGAGAGATAGGTATGTATATATATATTATGTGGCCTTACCGATCGGAGATTGTATTCCGTGTTCTTGAACTGTTTCCAGAACTCGTGGTGGTGGTCCTCTTGGTCCCAAGCTATCTGCTCGAGGCCCACGGCGTACCTCTGCATGTATTCGTACGCATCCAAAAGTGCCGTGTCAATCTGAAAGCATCCAAGCACGATCGATGGTGCTTCGTTAGCTAATGTGGTTTTCCTTTTTTTTTTTTCAGACCCATCAACAAATCGGAGTCTTGGTAGATAAAATAAAAAAAAAAAAAAAATTCTCACTCACCATCCGAATTTCCAGCTTGTCGCGAAACTCCGGATCGAGATGTTCGCCAAGCTGCTTCGGTATCTGCTTCGGCCCGGGCAGCCAGCCGTAGTGGTTGTCTTTCCACGTCGCGTGCAGGTCCGCGAGGTCGGTGTTGAACGTACGCTTGACCTGCAATCCCAAACAAAACACGTGGCCCGTGAGTACACGATAGATTTATGATAGCAATTTAGTTTTTTTTTTTTTTTTTTTTAAATTGTCATTGTCCATTCATGAAGGTCAAATGGTATAGGGTTTCAACTATGGGTTTTAATACCCTGAAACACTCATCTTTTCGAGCCTCAAACTTCTCTTTTTGGCATACACATGCGAGAATTAAGTCGAAGAGCTTTACTGTGCCAAAGGAATAAACAATAAATTTTAACGCACACAAAAACTGCAGACAGCTTTTTTTTAATCACACAAAAGCTTAGTAAGTATCGCGGTAAGTTTGACACTGACCGAATCTTCGGACACGTAAAGCTCATCTCCTTATTTCCGAATGTAATTGCATGCAACAGTTTGAGCAGTAGTTTAAAAAGTATTCGCGAGCCAATTCGTCGAAAGGCACATGTATAAAAACAATATATAAGAGGACGAGGTCGACACGGGGTGAAACAGCAGCAGAAGCAACAGTCCTTTCGTATAGTCGGCGATGCGTTACGCGGTAAAGCAAGTCCCGCTGACGCACACATCGGTCCTGTACCCACACATATACACGCATAGATAATATACGAGTGCAGGGGCAATAAGGGTGAATCGTCCGTAACTGGAGTATATTATCATCAGAGAGCGCGGGCACGTATACCTGCACGTGTAATGTGTGCGCGCGTGCATGCGACACCGCGAAATCTCAAAAAGGGTCCCTTTCGCTCCTGGGGGTAGGCTCTCTTGCCTAGCGGACGTGGGAATATACACGAGCGTACATACACGCGGGGGACCCGATTTTTCAGATTACTCAAGCCAACCGTGCGCTATTAGCGTTATTTAGGCTCGAGTATACGTGGAGTCACTCATACACACACACAGAGATGGAGAGGAAAAGCATACCTACGAGTTTATATGATCAACTTTTGGCTCTGTGTAATTAACCGACGATGCAGTACAGAGAGATAAATTTTACAAACCGAATCTCTTTTAATTGTAACTGGAGGATTACGCTAATCCGGAAGGACTTACTTCGGACGGAAACCAACTCGTTCGTGCCATACGATTTCATACTCGGTAGTAAGTGCGATGGGAGCTGTAACATCGGCAAATCGAACAAACAGCCCTCGTGACTGTGAGTGTATATATATATATATATATATGTGTGTACAAACTCGGGAAAATGCGAGTGAGACACGTGCCTCTGAGATGTATACAAACAGCTTAGTCTCCTCTAAGCACCGGTTCCTCGTCGCATACACATGAAATTTCAATGCCAAACGGCAAATGTTTACAACTGTCCACTAGATGACCACAATATATATATTATATATAAGACACGCACCTATCGAATTTTATTGAAACAATAAGATCGGCAATACAACGCCGTGTTCCAGGTAAAACGCGACGATGCACCGAGGGGGGCAGGTCATTGAGCGCATCGGTCTTATCTCTTGGCGGAGGAATGACAATAGCCGATTACAGCCGGGGAATCGCGTTATTGTGCGTGGTATCGTATTTTCGTTGTTTTGATTCGACTCGGCGAGGAGTAAGAAAAAAAAAAAAAAAAAAAAAATCTCGTCGTTGGCTCTCCCTCTCTCTCGAAGCGAAGCGAGTACGAGGAACGAAGAGCAGTAATCCACGGTTGCATTGAACCCTCGGCGTGCGTATACGCGTCGCTCATTACACTTGCCAGGGGAAGCTCGCGCGAGGGGAATTATATGAAAAAAGAGGTGGGCGATGTAAATTGGAGCAGCCAATTTGCGAGCCAATAAGAGGGGTGGTAGGGGGGGGGGGACGCAGGGGAGAGAAATCAAGAAATCACATGGATATACATTACGTCGACAAAGACCGGCATTTACTCGCGCGCGCGCGCCCCGAGAGACGTGCGTGCGCGCGGCGTAACCGAAAATTTCATAACTACTAATAAGCGGTGCAAAAAAACCACCAGCGCGTCCTCCTTTCGGTCTCCTTTTTTTCCCCCCTACCTGTCCGGAGTTGCCGTAACCTCAGGAGGAGCAAAGGAGGAAAAAAAAAAAAAAAGAAAAAAACGAGAAGCGACAGTAAAGGCATCGCATGGCGACAACAACGGCGACGACTGCAGGGACTGGAGCGCTAGGCGGAGGCTAATTGATTTTGGCGGGTCTTCTACACACATACGCCGCGCTCGGACACGCACACTCGTATACGTTTCCTGGGGCACGTGATTTTAGACCGGCACCGGTTTATTTTACGATCGTGTTCCCGCGACGACAAAGACGAGGGGGAGGAGGTGAGGAAAGAAGCTGTCGAGAGAGATACCGATTTCCACAGCCCGGCACGCATCGACACCGCGCTTCAGTACTGTACATCCAGATTTACAAAGATTTTCCGGCCACTCGATTAATCGGTAGTTGAGCCGCGTTTTTACCCCCGCGAATCCACGGAGATAAACGCGTGTGCAAACCGACCGTATAGCCTCCGCAGAAACGGTACATTTCGGTAAGTGTGTATCGGAGAGGAGAAGAGAAAAAAAAAAAAAAAAAGAGAGAAGAAGAAATCGGTCGCGTCGTAAAACGGCTTTAATTACCGGGCGGGCCGATACTTGAAAACCGATCGCGAGCCCGCCCTTCCCTTTTGAACTTTTGCGGCACACCTGTCCCATACAGAGTTTCTCTCCGTACCGATTTCTCCGCCCCTCGCGTCATCGCGCATCATACACACTTTACACGTGTATCGATCCCTTCGAATTTCGTAACCCGCACAACCGAGTCGTCGTAAAATGTATATACGGGTCCTTGCGGAATCGATCTTCATTTCGGTGAAACAAATGAATCACTCGTCGTACTCGCGTATACGTAATTCCTACGCGCGCGGAGTATACCAGAGAGAGAGAGAGAGAGAGAAAAACTATCTGAGTAATGCAATTGAATACAGCGGTACAAGGAAATCAGACTTCAAGCTCGTGACAATTGGAGTATATGGCATACGCGTACATCTACTTTCGATACCAATAACTCGTGAGTCACGCCGAATCAACGAACTTGCGTATACGTGATATGTAATGTGTTGTAGAAGAGGATGACGCCTCGTGAGAGTCGTCAGCATCACGCGGCAGTATATACTCTTGAGGAATCTCTCGGACTCGAGAAAGCACCAAAGCGAGCCGATACACCGTACGCCAATGATGTACGAAGGTATAAAAACACGTCAACGGGAGAGGAAGGAAAAAAAAAAAAAAGAAAGATGGAAATAAATAAATAGCGGAGGAGGACGGCAGTCGGTATCCGGTCTCCTCGGCGCGGCCGGTCCCTTAGTATGCAGCCAACGCAATGTCGGTGTTTGCACCGCCGGCGGCTCCTCATATGCGTCGGCTCGCGCTCCTCTATATCGCGCTCGATCACCGATTCCAACGCCATCGTGATACACCTGCTCCCTCGGAGTTATCGCTGATGTACTGTGCAAATATAGTTGTACCGGTGATATGCAAAACGCCCTCGAAATAACGCCCCCCCGACGGATAGGGAGCGTGTATCGGTAGTGCCGATCGCGTCACGTAGCTTGATCGATCGATCGACCGGAAAGCCAAAATCCGCCTTTTTTCGATTGTGGCATTCTCGACTGGTGCCTCGAGAAACCCGATACGTCGCTAATCGGCCGATACAATTTCTGGGAACGCGCGCGCATGTATGTATATGCGCGCCTATACCCTAGTTGGTGATAAAAAAGAAGGGCGATCGATGTGCAGCTTCCGGTTGCACCGAGCTAACGCCGCTGCACTGAAAATAGCACGTCGAGACTGCACGCGCGCACCTCGGCATCTGACACCCCCACGTTAGCGTACATTCGATACCACCCGCGCGTCTCGTTCTGACACAAGAATCGCCAACCCCTTTTGTCTCTCCGTACGGGTGCCTTTGGAAAAAGTGCTTTTCCTCCTCGTAAAGCGGGAGAGACACACGGCGACGCATAGTCTGGGACCCGCGCTTTGCGAATTACCATGTACGCACAATTACAGGTTAATTGGTCGTCGAGGGCGTTTCCTCGTTTGTCCATTTTGGTGGGTGAAAGTCGGTGCAACGTTGCGAGCACAAGTGGCATCGAGTGTCGATTTTTTACACCTCCGAGCGTCGCCCGAATCAGGTATAGCCGAGCGCGTGCAGCTTCTTCTCGATTAGCATCGCCGAGGCGCCAAGGCATTCGCCCGTGTGTATACGTGCCTGGCCTGCAGCCGAGATGGATAGGGTTTCGGAGTAGAGGCACGGGAGTGGATCGAAAGAAAAGAAAAAAAAAAAAAAAAGAGAGCGAGGGACAGTATCGCGTTGCCGCGTGGTCTAGTTGATGCGTGCGCGTGAGCCCGAGGCGTGGACCTTGAGGGGAACCGATCGGGCCGAAAAAACCCGAGCGTTGATTTATCGGCCTTGACCACGCGGATAACAACCATCGCACACCGGACGCCTTGCATCTCTCGCTCGTACAGGTGTACGGTTTTTCGCACGGGTTTTAGCGCCGATTCCCAGTATAGGTAAAAAGAGCCCGGCCACGGTACAAGTGTAAATAGAGCTTCCGATAAATGGGTGAGCATTACACCTCTCGGAGCGGGTGTGCGCGCGAGGGACTTTTCGTTTCTCCGGGCGTTCGGAAGTATACCTGGAAGGGAGATAAGGATCGCGAGTGAAATTGCTCAAAATCGCTCGGTAAGGGTGTACACGGCCGGTGCTATTGCTTCCACACCGCCGTCGTCGGCGGCGCATTCGTAATGGACAGAGACGTCTGGCCGGAAGTACAGTACCATAACTCCCTTCCGCCGGTAAGCTCTGTGCCCGAGAGCCGTTTCGATCCGTCGTCGATTGTAATTAGCGTCGAGTCCTCGCTTATATATACATGTTTATATACGTATCTTATATATATATATATACTTGATTTTACTTTCTACTCTCACGCAATTTCGTTGTACAAGAGTGTAAATAACTACAACGTGCAGAGAGAGAGAGTGGAAAATAATTCCATAATGTTGGTATACTCGGTGCGTACATATTATAGGTGCACATGACTCGGAATAATACATATAAATATACATGGTAATGGTTAAAAGTACTCACGTAAGTTTCCCGAAAGCTTCGTGCGTAGCTGAGGGCGTTCTTGGCTTGCATGATGACGTTGCTGAGTAGGGTAACGTCGTTGAGCTGTACCACCTCGATCTCGCCCTCAAACTCCTCGGCCGCGAAGCCGCACGGGTTCAACCACTTGGGCGGGGATCGGTAACTTCTCCTTTGGAGCGACGACACCAAGGGTGCGCTCTCGACCGTCGTTATTGAGGGCAGCATTACCAGTATTAGGCTAATGAGCCCTGAAAATGCAACGAGCACTGTTGGACGAGTTCGTTTTAATTAATTGTTCCAGCAAGTTTCGTTTGTTATATATATATTTGTTTATGTATGTATATAGTATATATGTATTTCATGTTTCATATATATATATGTATATATTATGTTGTTTGTTTTTTTTGTTGGCGCTCTGATGCGAGCTAGGTATAGTAAATGTTGGCACCTGTATATATGAGAGTATCGGTACTTGCGGAACGATTCGATAATTAAAATCTTTGATGATCGAGTGTTGAAAAACCACAAAGCTCATGTACCTCGACTTTGAAACGACAAATGTGCAAAACGGGCGATCAAAAATCGGGAATTTCGGGGAACCCGGATATATATATTATATCCTCGGAGTATATACGGTCGCTTCGGGGAAAGGGGTCCCGCTTCCGGGGGCCCACCGGCAGATCTCAAATCGGCATCGATGGGCACCCGATCGTCGGTATAATCATCACCCCTTTATCATTACTGCAGCGATGGAGAGGGCTTCGCGTATTATTTTGCGCGAGAGCCCCCCCCCCCCCCGCGTCCTTGGGCTTTGGCCGCTTCTTCCGCGAACCATCTCGAGGATCCGACCTTCGCGGTCGGCGCTACTTCCGCAGAGGCTTGCGTGCGACTTGATGAACCATATATTATATACACGCTGTCGCCAAAGTCCTGCAAATATAGGCTACGAGGAAGGAAAAGGGTCCTTCGTTTGAGTTTCGTCGAGATTATTCGGCACCGGGGAATACACCCATGGTGGCTGAGGAGTCGTCGAACTCAAGCCGTGGAAGATACAATTAGGGGTTTGTCTCTACGCGCACGAATATTAAGAGGTACAATACTTGTTGACTGCACGTATTTCGCATCCGTACGCGGATGTGGTTTATGACAAAATCTCATTGGCCGTACACGCCCTCTGTTCCAAAATTCAAAACAAAAACGCGCCCATGCAAGTTTTACGGTGAACAAGTATATCAACGAACACATATGTGACTGCGGTTTGTCCTACATTTTTTTTGGCACTCCCTTCATGTTACGTATTATTTAGCGCGGATAAATCCCCACGGCACGTCTTTCACGGACCTTAGGTTTTTTCGTTTTATTTTTCAGTTTCGCGCGGCTGAGCGCTCCGGTGACGGGGGACATGCAAATGGGAGATTCGTAAAAATAGGGACGAGTGGCCGAAAATAGACGGCGCTCGGAACAAAGCGTATAAGGGCTGCGGGGAGAATAAGAATATGGGGGTGATAATCGAGGAAGCACATCGCGAGGAGATTTTTCGCTCGACTTGACAATCACCCGCGCGTACATGGACACCGTGGGCGTCCGAGTCGTTATGACGACGAGTCTGATGTATCGCGTGCCGCGTTTATGTGTTTTCACGAGGGGGGGAAAGGAATGCGACCGATGCTGGCCTACCTCAACGGAGCCGTGTGTGCGGTGGAAAAATTCCGCGACGTTCCGACGAAATTCTTCTGGTACTGTGTGCGGCACACGGGGGAGGGGGAGAAAAACCGAGGCACGCATGCGCCCGGGAATTTCCTGGTGAGGATCATCCGATTGTGTTTTTTCTCCTCAAGGCGCACGAGGACGAGGAGAGCCGAGATCGGTAATCGACTCGCAAGATCGGCACCCATTCGTCAAAAGCGTCAGCTTCTTTGACCGGTATGTTTCACGCTCTCGCGTAAAGTGCGTACACAATGGAGCGTCGCTGGAATAGCCCCTTTGAAGCGCGTCGATACGCGAAAAACAGCACGAGCAAATTGCCCCTTGAGGATCGGTGGCCGGCAAAAACCGGCCGAGAGGGGGGAAAAAAATACCCGCGGACAGGCCGCGAAAAATGCGGTAATGGAGGAGCGCATTGCTCCGCGACAATTATACGCAATTAGACATCTTCGCGGGATTTAATATCACTTGGCTCGACTTTGTGGTAGGTCGCGCGCTCTCCCACCTGCAAACGAGAGAGGCACGCGCTCCCGACGATTTATCTCCTCTCCCTCGCTTTTCTGCCGCCGTCCCGTTTCCGTTAGCCGATAATTGTCCCGACGCTTGGGAAATCCTCGCGGGCTTTCACGATGGCAAAAAAAAACCCCACCAACCCTTTTCCATCCACGGAGTCGCTCACACTCGCTTCGGAGGTTCAATCGTAATCGAATAAATCGGCAAAACACGAATGATCCCGGTGACAATGGGTGAAAAAGGGATCAGCAGTCCAAGGAGAGCAAGATATGCCGAAGACGCGAGTTATGCCCGCTAATTATTTTTAAACGCTGCCGATACGGCCCTCCCCCCTCTCCCAGGATCAAGGGGGTTTTCAAGCCGGGGACGAGGTGCATCACCACCCGGGAGCTCCGACGTGATGCTGTTTTAATTGCCCCCACCGATCGTTAATTTAATTTTGTGCAATAGTCCTCGTTTCGCGCGATCGTCAAACATCGAAGAGACAAGCTCTCATCGGGAGACGAACCGTTATTACCAGAGCCACGCCAGTACACATGCGTATGTGCATATAAATAGTACGTACATAGCGTACACCACGATGGATGACTAACACGTAGATCGGCTCGCGACTCGCTGATGACGTCACGTTCGCGTCTATATCAACGCGTAAGCGCGCTCGTAAGCGTCGAGCCAGGAAAATCGGGCCCAGCTCTGTTTGCCTCTCCGGCGCGAAGAGATTCTTATCGGTCCGCGGGAAATCCTCGCGGTCAAGTGCGCGAGTTGGCGCTCGGTACGGGCAAGGCGAAGGATATTTCCGTGCCACCACGATTTTCGAGTTGGGCACACCATCGTTTATATATATATATATATTGTATATATATATATGTGTGTATGAGTGGTGGGGCGGGGGAGTATATAAGCGCACATCCGATCGGCGCGACCCACGCTTTTGTTTTTGGTTCTGTTATCTACAGTGACTTATCTCGAGTGACGGTGTATCCATTGAGACAGAGGGAGAAAAAATAAAAGCATTGTCGCACTCGTTGATTAGTTGGGTAGGTACACCAGGAGCGGGCCATTGATGAAAGTGTACCAATGAACTCGTTACGTCAGACTAAGGGTCTTTGATCCAATTAGACGGCGTAATTGTAAAAATAACGACGAGGGACGGAGCGAACGAAAATACCGAGGCCACTGTTCGTTGAACCGGGCCAAGGGAGGGAAGACAAAAAAAAGGGAGCAATCACTGCACCGTAAAAGGGAGTTAATCATCGTTGTCACCTACGCGTTGCTCGTTAGCTTGGTGGACAAGACTCGCAGGTTGGAGGAGATGGGATCATGAATGGAACGGGCGACGGCAGCCTGACACCTGTTGCTTCGGTCGCGAGGGAGAAATCTGAACGAACAGCCGGCAATTTTCCTTCAAAAACCCTAGGGACGACCATCGCACCTTCGAGTTTTCATTTTCCTCAAAGATTATTACTTTCAGTTGTCACAATAGTATACGTGACTTCGGGGATTATCGGTATACGTTAGAAAGCGGCTTTCCCCTACACAAGGTGTGAATCAAATTTCGAGAGCTTCGCTCTGTATACGTCATGCGATAAGGAATGTCCTTGTTTTATGGTAGAGAAAAGGAATCTATTGTAATATATTGGACTTTTCCAAACTTATACAGAAGAAATGGTCCGAAAATTCTACAAGTGCTCCAATTGTTGTTTCCTTTTTCTCTTATATCTCCAATGCGATTTCAGGGGCGCTAGGCTTTCTCGCGTGGGCGCGACAATGTACGTATTTGTCACGGGCGCGTGCATTTTTAGCCATCGGATTGAATTATTCATCGGTTTTGCGGGCACGGCGTTTAACACTTGTCCGACCTGTCACGGCGTTTGACTCCTACTTATCGATTTTCCAGTTTTCATCTCCCCTACGCTCTCTCATCTTTTTTTTTTTCTGATCAATGCACCGTTCTTTTTGTTTGCTCAATATTTGGACGTTATAAAAAATTTAAAAGTTTTGAAAACGAGGCAAGAGTGAGAATATGTGTGTATATCACGAAAGAATTATAAAAGTGGCCCAAACGAGCTGATGATAGGTACGCCCGATACGGAGCTCATATTCTACGTTTCTCAAATTTAGCGTGAATTTAGAGCAAAGAGTCCCGCATACAGACGACCGAATTAGCCCACGTGTATTCCACTGTAATAATCCAGCTTGACGTGCCTCGGTATAAATCACGCGCCCATCACCACTCCCCCCTCCCTTTTTACCGCACTTGCCGAGAAAATGATTTTTTTTTCCGAAATACTTTGTACTAGAAATCGCTTGCGAGTCCAGCGGCGCATATGGTTTTATCGATTTTCATAGAAATCTCGGTTGGTCTGTATTCGCTAAGGGAATAACCCGGGCAAGGAAAACCTGTAAGCTCTTCTTCCACAAATTTTGTTGTACAAAGATGGTCGTGATTTCTTTTTCTTACCACCACCACTGCCACATTCCCAAAGTGGCCAAACCAGCATTGCAGCTAGTCTCGGTTCAACGACGCCGTTTCTGGGTGATGTATGTTTTTTACGCGACTTTGGGCAGGATTCCCACGGTATTAAAAACAAAAAAAAAGGACATTTAACGGGCACCGAAAAAACAACGCGTCGTCGCGAGCCGTCTCGAGTCCCAATTTTTCGAATTCCCTAATGTGCCCTCGGTCTTGTCTATACATTTTTTGTCGAGACGAAGCGACCTGCTGATACGACCTAATGGTTTCGTACATGTATAAAGTACGCGCAACTCAAAATAAATAAATAAAAGTGCAATGAGGTATGAAAAAACAAAAAGAAGCAAAAAATGAAATGAAGCAAAGTATACTTACTAAGACACGCGCAGGACAGTTGGGTCTTACGAAGTTTAACGTAATCCCGAATTCGTCGCGCAGAAGAGTCGGACGAGTCGGTTTCGCCGTTCGCTTCCTCATCACAGCCTTTGACAGACGCGCACGTTCCGCTGTCACTACTACTTTTACAACAACTACAATTACTATGTTTCCCGCTAAGTTTTTCGGCACGATTCTGCC